AAATCGGACTTCGATAAAATTACAAACTTCTGCTCTACCAATCTGAGTAGCAGACAGAGCCTGGACAATATTCATGGCTACCAGGAAGTGTCAGCTTCCTTCCTTCCTCCCTCCCTCTCTCCCTCCCTTCCTTCCTTTTCCTTCCATCCTTCCTTCCTTTTCCTTCTTTTTCCTTCCTTCCTTCCTTTTCCTTTCTCCATTCCTTTTCCTTCCTTCCTTCCCTCCTTCCCTCCTTCCCTCCTTCCTTCCATTTTGAAGAAGGCAACAAATTCTAGGAGATAATATATTGGCTTATATCTGAATCAGGACAGGAAAAGGAGAGCTTCCCCATTTTTGTAGGAAATGAAATTATTCCCATCACAAAAAGAGCACAACATGGCTGTTGTTTTATAATCAGGAAAGCCAGGGCGCCTGGGTGGCTCAGTTGGTTAAGCAACTGCCTTCGGCTCAGGTCATGATCCTGGAGTCCCTGGATCGAGTCCCGCATCGAGTCCCGCATCGAGTCCCGCATCGGGCTCCCTGCTCGGCAGGGAGTCTGCTTCTCCCTCTGACCCTCCCCCCTCTCACGTGCTCTCTCTCATTCTCTCTTAAATAAATAAATAAAATCTTTAAAAAAAAAATAATAATCAGGAAAGCCAACCACAAATCTACCCTTACCCCTGCTTTGCCCCTGTTTGCACCAGGCTTCTGGTCACCTGGCAGCAGGGAGGGAAGGCAGCAACTGAGAGCCCTGAGCTTACTGATCTAGTCAAGCCAAGAAGTTTCCAGAACTTGTGGGACAGCTCCCACCCAGTCACCTACATAGTGAATGAACAGCCCTCTTGGTAAGTTGAACTGATCCTTTATGTCATGCTCCTGGCCTCACAAGTAGATTCAATGCAGAAACCCAAAACTCACTGTGAAACCATTGGCTGTTACATGGAACATGAGAATTTCGAAGTTTTTAGCAAATTACATATTTCAACTTATTTATAAGTGGACTTCCGAAGAAAGCATTTAATTTACTACTAAACTACTGATAAAATTAAATATGATATAATGCTATCGTTAAAAACTATGGTCACAAAAATTGTAATATATAATTTACCATTTTAAAGACTTTTACCATTTTGTTTTTGGGGCACCTGTGTGGCTCAGTCTATTAAGCATCTGTCTTCAGCTCAGGTCATGATCCCAGGGTCCTGGGATCAGGGTCTGCATCGGGCTCCCTGCTCAGCGGGGAGCCCGCTTCTCCCCCTCCCTCTGCCCCTCACCCCCACCCCCCAGCCCCACTCCCATTCTCACTCCCACTTGTGCTCTCTCTCACTATCTCTTTCTCTCTCAAATAAGTAAATACAATCTTTTAAAAAAAAATTGTTTTTAAGTAATCTCTCTACCCAATGTGGGGCTTAAACTGACAACCCCAAGATCAAGAGTCACACACTCCACTGAGTCAGCCAGGCGCCCCTAAAATTTATCATTTTAAAGTGTGCAATTTGGTAGTATTAGGACATTCACAACATTGTGCAACCATCACCATTATCTAGCTCCAGAACATTTTCATCACCCCAAGAGGAAACTCCACACCCTTTAAGCAGTCACTCCCCAGGCCTTCTAGTCCCCAGCCCTGGCAACGACCAATCTACTTTCTGTCTCTGCGATTTTTCTGTTCTGAACATATCCTATAAATGAATCATACACTATGTGATCTTTTGTGTCTGGCTTCATTCACTTACCACAGTGTTTTCTAGGTTCATCCCTTTTATAGCATGTGTCAACACTTCATTTTTAAGGCTGAACAATATTCCAATGTATAGACATAGCACATTTTGTTTATCTGTTCTTCAGTTGATGGACATGTGGGTTGTTTCTACTTTTTGGCTATTGTGAGCAGGGCTGCTTTGGCCATTCCGGTACACATTTTTTGTTTGAACACCTGTTTTCAATTAGTTTGGTTACATACTTAGGAGTGGATTTGCTGGGTCATATGGTAATTCTGTGTTCAGCAACCACCAAACTGGTTTCCACAGTGGCTGCACCATTTGACATTCCCACCAGCAGTGAACGTGGGTTCCAGTCTCTCCACTTAACCGACACTTGACTTGTGGTGGAGTTTTTTGTGGTTTTTTTGATTGTTTTTGTTAAAATCATTCTAACGCGTGTGAAGTGGTATCTCATTGTAATTTTTAAAAGAGAAGATGCTTTTGATTTTTTTAAGATTTTATTTACTTATTTGAGAGAGGGTGAGCGAGAGAGAGAGTACAAGTGGGGGACGGGGGAGGCAGAGGGAGAAGCAGACTCCCCACTAAGGAGGGATCCCGATGCAGGGCTCGATCCCAGGACCCTGAGATCATGACCTGAGCCAAAGGCAGACCCTTAACCGACTGAGCCACCCAGGCACCCCCAGAAGATGCTTTTTATGATTTCAATCTTTTTAAATTTATTGAGACTTGTTAAATATATATAATGCTGTTTTATAAATAACACGAGTCTATTCTATTTGCTTTTTTATTTGAATACTTATTACACTATTATGGGAAATTAAATATTAATAAAAATCAGTTTTGAAAAAAGGAATTATAAACTAATCAATTGTATAAATTTACCTCTGTGTGATGCAAACTCCCATTTTTATAATATCATAGTATATACACTTCTTATATTATTTCCTAAGGTACTGCTTTATTTTCATTACAAATATCAAGGAGTGAAAATAGCCCTTCATTAGGGCGTGGACATCAGAGGGAGGTAAACACCCGGGTCTGGGAGTCAGACCCACCCGGGATTGAACCAGTTTTTCTCCCTGCTAGCTGTGTGATCAGGGCGAGTTACATAACTTTGCTGAGCTTGCATTTATTCATGTGCCAAATGGGGATGAGAACACGTAAGTCAAGGAGTATGTCTCCTAAGTCAGGATTAGTTGAAGTCAGATAATAAAAAGGTGGGTTGCTGAACAGGGAATTCTGCATTTGGAGGGGGGAGACAAGCATTTTGGGGGGCGCCAATCCCTCCATGACCCTGAGAAAATGCCTCCAGAATGTCTGCTTTGCTTTTCCCTTTCCTGAGAAGTTCCCAGCTGGAAGTAAGGGCAAGAGATGGGATTCATTCATTCAACAGGCACTTACTGAGCCCGCTCTGTGTGCCAGGGGCCACTCTAGGTGCCCGGAGACACAGCAGCAAACAGGAGAGACAGAGCCCCTGTCTACATGGAGCTTCTATCCCAGTGGGAGACAGGCAGTCACCTACTAAACCGGGAGATTTTAATATGGCAGATGGTGGGAAGAACTGGATGAAAAAAGAAAGCAAGGGGAAAGGATAGGGCCTCCAGGGCAGGGGTGGCATGGCTCCTATCCTATGTGGAGCATCCGGGGAGGGCCTGAGTGATCAGGGGACATCTGGGCAGAGACCAGAAGGAAGCAGCAGTGTGAGTGGTTCTGATATAGGGAGGATGCGGATTTCCAACAGAAGGAACAGCGAATGCAAAAGTCCTAAGGCACAGCGTGGGTTGTTAGGGGTCAGAATGGGAAGGGGGGCAATGGGTGACATTTTAAGGACTTCTGAGTGAGGTGGGAAGCCTCTGAAGTGTTTTCGGAAGAACCATGCATGACCCGATCTAAACGTTCTCGGAGGTCGCTCTGTGTGCTGGGTTGAGAAGAGCCCATGGGCAAGGGAGGAAGGGGACCCGTTGGGGCTTTCCCATTCTCGCTTGCTGGGACTAGACAGAGCTGTCCTGGTGAGATGCAGTGGGGTCTGCGGATATTTTGGAGGTAAATTTACTGACATATTGCTGTGAACTCAGAGAGAAAGAGGGACTCAGGGATGCTTAGAGCCACCGTGAGGACGGTGCTACCTATTTTCTCAGGGGAGGGGGGGAGCCTGGTGGAAGCGCCGGGCAAGGGAATCGGTGTGTCTTAGGGCAGTTACCCCGAGGGTGGCTGAGCAGGCAGGGCCTGAGCCTGGAGTTGCGGGGATGCTCCCCTGGGAGCCTTCAGGGCATATGTGGTGTCTAAAGCCAGGCACTTGCAGGACGTTCCCTGGGGCCATGGGTGTAGATGAAGACAAGTGCTCTGAGCACTGAGTTCTGAGCCACTCTGACACTTAGAGGTCAGGAAGATGAAGAGACACCAGCAAGACTGAGGAGGAGGAGAAGGAGGGAGGGAGGGGGCAAGAGGTGTCCTGGACGCCTGGAGAAGGAAGTGTTTCAGGAAGGAAGGAGATGGAGTCAACATCTCAAGAATTAGTGGCCACTCCGACCTTGGCAAGAGCACTCCTGATGGAGGTGGAGGGGATGAGGCCCCGAGGGAATGCTCTAGAAGGGCTGGAGACCAGTACACACAGCTCTTTCAGGGAGTTCTGCATAAACTGGAGCAGGGAGATGGCGCGGAGCTGGAGGGGGGCTGTGGAGCCTGGCATCAAGGGAGAGTGCTTTTATTTTGGCCAAGTATTAGAGAGATTTCGGCATGTTTCAAGTTGTGTCCCTACTCGTGTGTGAAACAGTGTGGCAGGAGAGATCTCCCCTGTGCTAAATGGTTTGGAGACACTTCTCTGGAAAACATTTGCTTTCTGAGTTCTCCAGTCAGTTTTCTCAACACTGAACATTTGCCCCAAGTAACAGCTCCTCCTTTAATTATGGCAGCCAGCTGCAAAAGGGAAACTCCAGGGGCTGGGAATGTTGCCCCTCTGCTTTCTGCCTCTTACCGAGTGTGAGGACTAATCACCACCCTGATGGGAAGGTTTAAGGTCACCACACACGTGCATTTAATTCTGCTAGTTCTCAAGTAAGAGCAGAGGCGCCAGGAGAAAGTGGAAAGGGCCCTGGTGGGGAAGAGACAGCGATCTGCCCCCCACCCTCCCTTCAGTGACCATCAGCTGTGTGACCACAGCATGTCATGGGGCATCTCCGGGCATCTTTAGTGAAAGCACTGCAAGCAGGTCTCTAAGTGACCTATTTGTCCCTCAGACTGTCCTTGCTTTGAGAATTTAGCTATGCATTTACAATTATATTTATCCTCTATTTCTAGGTGTCTGCAGTGGGAAGGGGAGCAGGTCTGCTTTCTTGCCTGGCTAAAGTGGGCATAGATAGAACTCGCAACCCCGGGATAGAACTCGCAACCCCAAGATCAAGAAGCTGGATCAAGTCACTTCCATGCATTCACTCGCTCGCTCATTTAACAGTATTGACTGAGCACCAACCCTGTGCCAGGAACAGGTAGGCCCTGGGGACCCAGGGGTACACGAGGCATATTGTATCCCTGCCCTCAGAGAGCCTGCTGCCTAGCTTCCCTAGGTCTTTCACACGGTCCTTTAGCTGTGTGACACACCCACCACTTAGATTTCTCCCTTGTTCTCTGGGAGACCACATCCTCTGGGTCTGCTGGAGGTTGCTTGCTTCCTGGGCCAGCTGCACAGCCCTCAGGGGCTGGCTTCCTGGGACTCAGGGCTCCCTTTCTTGGGGTACTTTTTCATTTTGCTCAAGAATGTCCTCTAATAGGGACGCCTGGGGGGCTCAGTCGGTTAAGCGTCTGCCTTCGGCTCAGGTCATGATCTCAGGGTCCTGGGATCGAGCCCCACGCCGGGCTCCTGCTCAGCTTGAAGGCTGCTTCTCCCCCTGTTTATGCTCTCTCTCTCTCTCTCTCTGACAAATAAATAAAATCTTCAAAAAAAAAAAAAAAGAAAGAAAGAAAGAAAATGTCCTCTAATAGATTCCTGAGAAGGTGAGCAAGGGAAGAAAAAAATTACCTCTTTGTATATCTGAAGACATCATTTCCTATTTGCCGGAAAGTTGAATAAGTAGAGAACTTTACCTAGAACATCCATTCAAAATTTAGACACTATTGCCCCGTTGTTTCCTAAGTCTCCACATTACTTTAGGAAAATTTCTATCATTCAGGTTCTCAATTCTTTGTGGGTGACCTCTCTCTCACCCTTGGATGCTTTTCCTTTTTTTCTCTTAATCTTTTCTTTTATCCTTGGGGTTCTGAAATGCCATGATAACATTCCTTGGTGCAGTAATTTTTCATTCTTTTGGGCTAGGCCCTTCCGATCTGGAGACTAATAACCCTCAGTTCTGGGCAGTTTTCTTGTCTTCTCTCTCCCGACAATCACCTTCGTTTTCCTCTTTTTTTTTTCCCCAAAGATTTTATTTATTTATTTGAGAGAGAGGGAATACAAGCAGGGGGAGAGGGAGAAGCAGGCCTCCCGCAGAGCAGGGAGCCCGATGAGGGGTTCGATCCCAGGACCCTGGGATCATGACCTGAGCCGAAGGCAGATGCTTAACGACTGAGCCACCCAGGCGCCCCCGTTTTCCTCTTCCTTTTCTTTTTCTGGACCTCCAATTAATCAGATTTTGGCTTTTGGATTGGCCCTCTGAATTCCTTATCATTCCTCTTTTCCATGTCCCTCTCCTTCCCTCTCTCTCTCTGCTGGTTTGTGTGTTTTATTTCTGGGAGATTTCCCTCACTTTCACCTTCTAATTCTTCTCTTGAATCTTTTATTTCAGTTGACTGTTTTTATTTTAATGAATTCTATCTCGTTTTTTTAATAGCATCCTATTTTTTTAATTCTTTTTTAAAAATATTTATTTATTTGAGAGAGAGAGAGCATGAGCTGAGGGAAGGGCAGAAGGAGAGGGATAAGCAGACTCCCCCCTGAGCAGGAGCCTGATGCGGGACTCAATCCCAGGACCCCAGGATCATGACCTGAGCCGAAGGCAGATGCTTAACCGACTGAGCCACCCAGGTGTCCGGCCCCCTTTTATTTAAGTAGCTTCTACACCCACCACCGGGATAGAACTCGCAACCCCAAGATCAAGAGTTGCGTACTCTACTGATGTAGCCAGTCAGCTGCCCCAGCATCCTATTCTTGCTTTATGAATTCAATATCATGTCGTATCCAAGGATATTCATTAAAGTGTGTTTGAGGTTTCTCTTCGGTTTTTGCAGTTTTTTTATTTCCTTTGTTTTTTTATTCTCTTTTATGTCACCATGCAGAACTGAATATCTGATTGAATGCAAATATCTGTTCAGTCTGGGTATCAGGTATGTGGATTTTTATTGTCTATGCTTTTTATATGTTTGAATGATTTCATATATGTTTTAGGTAGATTAGAAACTTTACATATGTTCGTCTGCCTTGGTGACTGGAACGGTTCAGCTCAGCACAATCCGCAGGGAGCTGACCTTTTAGTTGGTGTACCTCCAAGTGACACTATTTGTCAGTCTTTTCTCTTGAGCCAGGTTTTCCAGAGACCTTCCTAATCTGCCTGGGTACCTACGTCTGGCTGCCAAAGCTGGGGGAAAGGAGGGGAGAAGGCAGGAAAGAGTCTGAGAAGCCCATCATTTAAGATGCAGCTGTTGGGGCGCCTGGAGGGCTCAGATGGTTAAGCCTCTGCCTTTGGCTCAGGTCATGATCCCGGGGTCCTGGGATCGAGCCCCGCGTCGGGCTCCCTGCTCAGCAGAGAGCCTGCTTCTCCCTCTGCTTCTGCCTCTCCCCCTGCTCATGCGCTCTCTCTCTCTCTCTATCGCTGTGTCTCAAATGAATAAATAAAATCTTAAAAAAAGAGAGAGATGCAGTTGTTCACTGAACCTGCTGCTTTCGATCCTGTGCCTCATCCCCACCTTTCCCTCCATCCTCCTGGTGCCCTCGAGTCTGGAGCCTCTCTTGTTCCATTTCTGCAGATCATAAACCTTCAGAAGGGGTGGCAGCCACTCCTGGCTGCGAGGGGTGATCAGGGACACCCAGGGCTCCCATTATTTTTTTTTTTTTTAAGATTTTATTTATTTATTTGAGAGAGAGCATGAGAGGGAAGAGGGTCAGAGGAAGAAGCAGACTCCTCGCTGAGCAGGGAGCCCGATGCGGGACTCGATCCCGGGACTCCAGGATCATGACCTGAGCCGAAGGCAGTCGCTTAACCAACTGAGCCACCCAGGCGCCCGCTCCCATTATTTCTTAAAGAGACTTCCTACCGGCCCCATGTTCATCTACTGTCTCATGCCTGACATCTCAGTGGTACCCGGCGCTCCTAAATCCTGGAACTCTTGGATTCAGGGCGAACCTGCTCACTTTTTATCGGCGTTCCTCTCGGAAAACAGGGAGGTTGTAACTTCTTCTCTAGGACACTTAGCTCTAGCTGTTCCCCATCTCCCGTTTTTAAAAGATTTAAGTTCAATATTTGCATAAATAAACCTTTTAATTCTCACAGATTGCTTGCCTTTTAACTTTTTTTTTTAGTATAGTTGACACAAAATGTTACATTAGTTTCAGATGGACAACATGGTGATTGGGTGTTATGTTGTGCTCCCCACAGGTGGGCAGCTACGTCCGGTACCAGGAACGCTGTTACGGCATCTCTGACTATGTTCCCTACGCTGTGTCTTTTATTCCCGTCCATTCCGTAGCTGGAAGCCTGGCTCTCCCACTTAATTTTGTATGGCTATGTTTACCAAACTCCTACAGGATGGGACCTCAGACTGAAGGGCTCTAGGGGAGTTTCTTGTGACACAATGAAGACATGCAGTTCTCAGAAATGGTCACAAGGTGGCTCAGTGACTCTATATTTAATTTAAAGTTACTTTCTCCCGACTCCTGGGCCAACCCACGAGAGTTAAAAGTCTTGAATCTTGGTTAATCCAGCATAGGGTATTTATGCTGGGCGGAGGTTCGGCGTGCTTTCTAGTCCACCTGCTTCTAGAGACAAGGGAATGGAGAGCCATTCGGAGTCACCCAGTCTGTCTTCTATCTGGAGGGGCTCCGTGGGAACAGGCCCTAGGCTTGAATTTTAAAATTCTTTTAAAGTCATATTCAAAGCTGCCTTCAAACTGTAATACTGGGTGAGTGCATGAAGGTGGCAGGGGGCACGAGGAGGCCAGCGCAGCCCCTGCTGCATGAGGAACGCGAAAGAAACAGAAGAGGAGTCCCTGGGTCACTTACCACATGTCCTGAACTCTTGCCTCGTGCCACTAAGCACTGTGAAGACACAAAGGGGTCAAGACAGGGTCCCTGCCCTCCAGAGTTTACAACCTGGTAAGGAGATGAGCCCACAGAAGACACGTGACTGCAACCAAGGAAGTCTGCCATAAATGCCCGGCGGAGGAACCGGAGATCACAAGTGCTCTTCTCGGTGTGGGGATGCGGGAGTCACTCCCCTGCTCCGGAGTGGAATGCCCTTGCTGGGGGATGGGGCTGGCCTTGGAAGAACGGTCTAAGTCAACCCTTCTCAAACTGGAATACGTGCCGTAGGCATCGCCTAGGGCTTTGGTTTAACGGTAGATTCAAATTCAGCAGGACTGTGCATGCGTGCAGAGTCTCACCCGAAACATACTGTGTTAATTGGGCTGGGTGCAACCTCGGCGTTCGGTATTTTTAAAAGCGCTTCCCAGGTGATTCTAACGCACGGGAAGGTTCGAACATCACTGACCTGGGGAACATGCATTACTCCACCCAGCATCTGAACCCCCCAGCTAGAGTGAGAGCCCACCCCACACTATGGAAGCTGCACGCGAGACCCTCTTTCCCCCACTTCCCTAGCGTCTGGGGCTCGAGCATGCACTTCGGGCTTCACCAACCAACTTGACCATCTCAGACTTCGCTCGCAGCAAAAGCTACTGAAAGAAGCTGAAGCTGCTCAGTACCGACCTTAGCAAGGATTTTGGCCTTGGTGGCAGCTCTACTGTTCTCAGAGGCGGCGGTGACCATTCCAGGGGCATGATGCTCAGCCGCAGTCAGGCCTCGGCAGACCAATTCTGCTAAGCCTGACTTTGAGCAGTGGTCTTGGCCGCACAGCCTCTGAAACTGGTCCTATGGTCCTGGAGATTGTGAGCTACCCCAATATATTAAACCCACCCAGAGTCCTTTATGATTAAATATAATACACCCTTTAAAACCCCGTAACACAAATGTGTAGATTAATGAATTGGTTTTTGTTGTTGTTGTTGTTTGTTTGTTTTTTAAGATTTTATTTATTCGACAGAGAGAGACACAGCGAGAGAGGGAACACAAGCAGGGGGAGGGGGAGAGGGAGAAGCAGGCTTCCCGCTGAGCAGGGAGCCCGATGCGGGGCTCGATCCCAGGACCCTGGGATCATGACCTGAGCCGAAGGCAGATGCTTAACGACTGAGCCACCCGGGCGCCCCAGATTAATGAATTGTTATAAGGCAAACACCCTTGTAAACATCCCTGCAAGAAGAGTTTGCTATCCCTGAAATCCTCCATGTGCCCCCTAGCATTTTTTAAAAGATTTATTTATTTATTTTGGGGGCAGGGAAGGGCAGAGAGAGAGGGAGAGACAGAATCTTTTTTTTTTTTTTAAGATTTTATTTATTTGTCAGAGAGCACAAGCTGGGGGAGCGGCAGGCAGAGGGAGAAACAGGCTCCCTGCTGAGCAAGGGCTTGATCCCAGGGCCCTGGGATCATGACTGGAGCCAAAAGCAGATGCTTATCTGACTGAGCCACCCAGGTATCCCAAGAGACAGAATCTTGAAGAGGACTCCGTGCTGAGCCTGGAGCCAGACACAGGCTCTCGACCCCATGACCAGGAGATCGTGACCTGAGCAGAAACCAAGAGACAGACGCCTAACCGACTGAGCCACCCAGGCGTCCCAACCCCTTACCATTTATAACTCCTCCCTCCCTGCTAAGAATATCCCTACCCTGACTTTTAGAGTAATCATTTCCTTCATTTTCTTTATATTACCTCTGTAGTTCCCTAAATACACTATAGTTTTACCTTTTTTTTTTTTCTTTCAGTCTTTGATTCATTTATAAGCTCTCACTCTCCCTCCATTGAAATTTCATTGTTGAAGAGACTGGATCAGTTGTCCTGTAACATTTACCAATCTGGATTTTGTTGATTGATGTAGTTCATTTTGTTCCTCTGTCCTCAGATTTCCTGTAAATTGGTAGTTGGATCTAGACCAAAACTTTGATCTGACTGATGTTTGAGACTTTGTTTGGCATGGCCTCGTCGTAGGAAGTATTGTGTTAGTGGTCAGAGGTACATAGGTGTTTGGCTCTATTTCGTTGGATCTCCCTTTGTGATGTCAGCCTTTGATCATTCCTAGATCCATTAATTCATTAGCAGTTACAAAACAGTTATATTCTATCATTTCTTCTTTCTTCCTCTGGTGGAATACTTCTCCATAGACCCCCTTCACCTTACTATTTATTGGGAAGAAAAACTTTCTCTATCCTCCTAGGTGCAGTGTTTGGAAGCTTGCAAATTAAACTGACAAAAGACAGATTAGTAAGAGAAAAGCAGATTTTTATCCACTATGTATCTGTGCGTTCACAGAAGAATGTGTCTCTTCTAATTTGGGGCTTATATGCCACCTTAATAGGGGGTAGGGAAGGGCAGAGAGGCACTTCTTACACGGGGAGGGGGAGAAAGGGCACTTACGTGACTTTTTGGAGAGATAAACAGACCCTTAGGAGGACGGGAGGTCAAACAGTCCATGTTTGTGACCGTGTTTGGGTGTGTACAAATCTCTCCAAGAGCTTTGAGTTGCTCCTTAGTGACCAGTGGGTTCTTTTGGGAAAAGCTATGCTTTTAAGCAGATAAGGGATTTCAGAAATTTAGAAACCTTCAGTTCAAAATCATTTTTATGCCCCAGTGGCTTATTCTGGCCCCCTTCGCTGTTCAGTCACCCAGTGATATAGTCTGTAGAGGGAAGTCAAGGTAAGTTCTTGATTCTTTTATTTACCAGGGAGGGTGTGGTGGGGAAGAGAGCTGTTTCCCAAGCACCTCCCGAGAGTGACCGGTTAGGGGGGCGTGTGCCTGCATGGGTGTATCCCATCATTGTGGAGCCACAGATTTATAAGTATTTGATGTGTTCAAAGTGCCCTCTCTCTAGCCAGAGCAGGTTGGCTCCCAAGCCCTATTGACACACCCTTAGATTTTCAGTACTTCTCTGTCTGATGTGACAAACATGGACTCTGCTATTTCTTCACGAAGCTCTGGTTTCTTCTAGTGGGAAAAAGGAACTTCTTAGGGCAAGGAACTCGCTTGCCGTTGGAACGCGCAAACCCCTCTGAATATCCGCCGCAGCTCTAATGTTGGCTTGCGGTGTGTTTTCAAGTACTTGCAGGTTATTTTGGAGTTCTTCAGTCCACCAGATGGCCCGTTTCCTCCCTACGCTTTCTTCCTCACAGACACTATTATGCAGTTCCTGTTTCTATCAGAAGTTTGCCCCAACCTGCTTGTGTTTGGGAGTGTGTGGGGGTACCCTGTCAACTGCTTTGGCTGCATACACTGCTCATGGGTTTTCCTATCCTACTTGCTGCGTTTTTATGGAGGGATTTGCGGAAAATGAAAAATCAGGCCACCGCCACCACCTTCATATAAAAATGCAACTTTAGGGGCGCCTGGGTGGCTCAGTCGGTTAAGTGTCTGACTCTTGATTTCGGCTCAGGTCAGGATCTCAGCGTTGTGAGATCGAGCCCCGCACTGGGTTCCACCCTCCGCAGGGAGTCTGCTGGAGATTCTTTCTCTCCTTCGCCCTCTTCTCCTCCTCCCCACCCCCGCTCGCACACACTCTCACTCTAAAAATAAATAAATCTTTTTTAAAAATGCAACTTTGGGCGCCTGGGTGGCTGGGTTGGTTAAGCGACTGCCTTCGGCGCAGGTCGTGATCCTGGAGTCCTGGGATCGAGTCCCGCATCGGGCTCCCTGCTCGGCAGGGAGCCTGCTTCTCCCTCTGACCTTCCCCCCTCTCATGTGCTCTCTGTCTCTCTCATTCTCTCTGTCTCACATAAATAAATAAAATCTTTAAAAAAAATAAAAATAAAAATGCAACTTTAACACCCTTTTACGAAATGTCTTCCACTGTTTAAATGAAGCAAATTTGGTTTTTACTATTTGCCGCTAAGAACTGCACAGAGGGATATTAAGCCAAGGGATGGAAGATGCAATTTTTTGCCCGACCTGTTTTGAGGCCTACAGAGAGCTAAGGAAATTTGTGTAGCACTGTGGGTGGACCATTAAGGCTGTAACGTGGATTGGGGCCTGGAACGTCCTCAACTGTTGGACCAGGTCAACTCACTGTTTTATTTCCCTGGAAGCTTGGATGATGACAAACTATGGTCAAAGCATGACACATCTTTGCTGTAGGCGACAGAGCCACCGTAGATTCTCGAGCAGGACAGTGGGGTGCTCAGAAGACAAACCTTCTGAGTGTGCAAGAGGGACAAGGGGAGTGAGCGGGAGAGCAATACTAGGTGGCGAGTTAGGCAAGTAACGCCTTGGTCTACAAAGAGAGGACGACGTATTGAAACAAGAGCGGTGGGAATGTCAAGGGGAAGACAGGTGACAATGGAGGAAAACTGAACGGTACTAGGTGACCATGAGGGGAAGAGTCATCACTGGGTGAGGTCTCAAAGTTGGGTGACTAGAAACAAGAATAGTAATGTCACCTCCCACATGAGTGACCTAGAG